AATAGAATTCAAGCAGTGAAGTAGCTGTTCGGCATATTTGATCTATAGTTTGTATTTATTCATGCCCCTGCTCCAGGAAAAGACTAGCTCTGGTGCAGGAGAGTTTTCCATTCAGAACTTTTTATGCTCCTTTTCGGTGTTAGAAAGTCTTTAACAGTTTGAAGAAGAACAAGTCACTTTTCCTTCATGGCGTGTCCCAAATTGTCTTAGCTCAGGATGCTATTAAAATACCATAGAAAAATGGCAAAATGAAGTCCATTATCCTGGAAAATTAATCTGCACTAGTAAAAATACATGTTTTGAAGAAAAACAAAACAAAATACCATGGAGGGGTCGTTTTAGGGACCTTACTCCCTTTCATGAGGGCTTCAGCTTCATGAACTAAAACTACATCTTCTAATGCCATCACATTGGGTAATCAGAGGTATGTACTTAGGAAATTTGGGGGAATGCAAACAATGATTAGTTTACTCCAGTGATTAATTCTCACGGTATAAATAGAAATCAGTAACCATTATACAAGTGACCATAGTAGCAATTCCATTAAAACCAAAGCCTGTATACCACATCATTTCACTCTGATGGGCATCTCTCTGAACAACAGGCACCTGGGGAAAGGGATTCCAAATCAGGACTAGGTAATCATTTCCGACGAAATCAGTGATCTCCTCTTGCTCTTCTTTTTCTCCTCAGCTACCCTGCCTAGCGCTTTGCATCTCTTTCAGTCAGCATTGAGGCTGGGACTGTGGTCTCGTTCATTGCCTGCTGTCTTTATTAACACAACATCCCATGAGAGAGGCTGCTGCCTAAGCCCTTCATATGTGAGAACAGAACCACCCTAAGACAGCTCACATGGGACGGAGGGTTTGCATCAACGTCCAGTCCTTACAGGCTGCAGCACAAAACAAAAGTGAGATTAACATCAGTCGAATATTCACTACATCCCAAGCTTTTTTTTTTTTTTTTTGGTCTCTTTGAAGTCTCACTATCACCCAGTGAAGCAAGTGCTATTTTTGTCCTCATTTTACAGATGACAGAATTAAGGTTCAGAGAGGTTAAGTGGTCTGCCAGGACCACAAAGTTAATAAACAGCAGCACCAGCATCTGTGGCCAGTCTGACTGCAGCTGCTCCTTGGCAGCTGGTTCCTGAGAGGAATGAAAACATGAGCGCAAATCTGACCTCTCAAGGAAGAAGCCTGGACTTCCAAGTTGCCACGAACTCTATCCTTTAAAGTGCCTGCCCCCCATGTAATCATAATACTCACAAAGTACACTAAATCAGCTTCATTGTCACTTGGCCATGGAAGGCCACAGGAAGGGAGTTAACAGAACGTGGTGTCTCAAAAGGCAAAGTGACAAGAGGAGGAACCCCCAGCTTCCAGAATTAACATCTATGATTTGCTGTTTAATCACCAACACTGGGCAGGTAATTCAAAATGATGTTTACATGGTAAGCAGAACCTCTTTATGTGCGTAAAAACACACAAAAAATCAGGCAAATGGCATCTTAAAAGTCATATTTGCAGGGCATGGTGGTGTGCACCTGTAATTCTAGCACTCCAGCAGGCCTGGGCAGGAAACTTGCAAGTTCCAGCTTAGCCTGGGCAACTTAGTGAGGCCCTATGTCAAAACGAAAACTAACAGGGGCCAGGAGTAAAGCTCAGTGGCACAGTACCTGCCTGGCAAGCATGAGGTCTTGAGTTCCATTCGAGTACCAAGAAAGAAAGAAAGAAAGAAAGAAAGAAAGAAAGAAAAAACTAAGGAAGAGGATGGACATGTAACTCAGTGTGAAGGCCCTGGGTTCAATCTCTAATACAGAAAAAAATTAAAAACAAGGAAAAAAGAAAAGCTATTCTAAACCAAAACAAACCTCATGTACATTAGCTTGGTACTGTTTTACAACAAAAACAAATTCTTTCAGGTATTTCGTCTTAAAACTCTAACATATATAAATGGTGTAAATGTTCAGCAAATGCAGTTTATCAAAGATCTGCAAAGGAAAGCTGACGTCCTTTAGAGATGAAGACTTGGAAGAGGTGGTGGCCCCGTGTTTCTCTCTTCACACCATTTTCCTCCACTGGGCACCAACGTGGCACTGAGCTTCTAGAGTCATCTCAAACCGGAGCTTATTTGAACATTCAGACAGATGTGGAACCAGGTGCATTTCCTAGCTAGACAGCTTTGAAATACGTTGCTGGGCAGTGACAGTCCCTATGTCAATACGCAGCCACAGTGCTGGGCATCCACAATCCTATTGTGCCTCCGAGGAGCTACTTTTGGAGAAAACCCCAACATTATGTTTGTACTTTATAGCAGATGTGGGCTTTATTTTAGAGCCAGTGCTGCTGGTCAGGTCTGTACATTCTCTCTGGCTCTTCTGACCCTCAAGGCTTCTCTTCTCCCTGGGCATTGTCCTCATGCATGATCAGGTCAGTTGGTTATTGGTGGCGCTGCTGTCCCAAGCCAAGGGGAGGCAAAATGTAGAGCTGGCTCAGGCTTGGCTGCTGGCTGTGGCCAGACTGCAGAATGCAGAGGACCAGTGCATGTGGCTGCTGTGGCTTCCCAAGCCAGGGGTCAGCTGTTGCATACTGCTGTGCTGAGTCAGCTGCTGTGCTGCTCATGGTAGTGTGATTTTTTAATACAAGACCTAAGCTAGAGTTGCTATCTCTTTATTTTTATTTTATGGAAAAAATAAATTAAAATTTCATAGCAAAATAATAGATAACAATAGTTGATACACTGCATATTGTTACCTTCAAAGTAGTTACTCAGAGTACAAGACATAGGCATAAAATTCTCCAAAAAAATATTAACACAAACTGTTCTTTTCAATGAACCAAGAGAAATTAGTAGTATAATTAACTTTTTTTCCTTTCCCCTTCTTCCTATTCCCCTTTCCCCACCCTAGTTCCTCTTTCCTTTCCAACAATTTCTTCCCATTTCATAGTGTCTGTTGTACATTTTGGTCCTTATTTACTCTTGCAGCTTCTCACACCAGGGAAACAATTCAATGTTTACACATGTGAGTCTGATTTATTTCACTTATGAGTGTGCCCTCAGGTTGCATCCATTTACCTATAAATGTCTCAAGTTTATCCTTCTTCATAGCTGAGTGGCACTCTACTGTATAAAAAGACCACATCTTTTTTTTATCCATTCCTCAGTTCATGGGCATTTGGGTTGTTTCCAAGATTTAGATATTACAAACTGTGCTGCTATAAACATTGATTTGCATATATCACTGTGGTATGATGTTTTTAACTCTTCCAGGAAGATACCCAGAAGGGGAATAGTTGGGTCAAATGGGACTGCTAATCCTAGTTTTTTAAGGAATCCCCACACTGATTTCCACAGTGCTGGAACCACTCTACACCCCCCACAACATCCCCACCAGCATTTATTATTAGATGATTTCTTGATGGTAGCCATTCTTTCTTGAGATAGAATCTCAGTGTCGTTTTCACTTATATCTCTCAAATGATCAATGACATTGAACATTTTTCTTCTTGTATATTTATTTGCTGTTTGTGTTTCTTCATCTGAGAGTGTATATTCATCTCAGATGCCCATTTTTAGATAGGGTCATTGCATTTGGCGGCTCTGATTTTTTAATTCTTTATATGTTTTAGATAAAAGTCCTTTGTCTGAGAGACAACTGGATAAAAGTTTTTCCACTCTGTGGGTTATCTTCACACTCCATTGGTAATTTCTTTTGCTGTGTAAAAATTTTTCTTAATAGAATGATATCTCAGTTATTCTTTGTAGTATTTCCTGTGTAATTGAACTTTGTTTATGAAATTTTGCTTGCACCTGTATCTTCAAGTGTTCAACATATTTTATCTTCCAGCCCTTTAGTTTTTCTGTTTGAATACTTAGATATTTGACTTATTTTGATTTTAGTGCATGGTGATAGACATGGACCTAATCTTAGTCTTTGGCAGTCTCCTGTACTGCTTTAAAAGTGGCCACAATGATGTGTTAATGGTCTTCAAAGTGAAGAAGAGTATTTTTTCATGGGAATTAATGGCAACATGTCTTTTCCTGAAATAAATTTTATTTAAACATATACCATATTTCTGATTACCCCTTAGATAAATGCATACATATAACTGTACTTGTGAACATGTGCTTTGATAGGCAAATAAATTAAATGAGCAAGACTGCTCTGGCTGGCCCTGTTCGTGGAAAGCACATATGGAATTTCAGACACAGTTGTCTAAGATGGTACAAATGGAGTTAAACTGAACCTTTCGTTGAGCTGAAGTTTAGCGGTAGATGTAGTTATCTAATTGGACTAGGAAATTGTTCTTCAAACCAGCTCAAATGGTAAAATTAAAAAACCTAATTCAAAGACATGGAACATAAGAAACCTAAGTTAAAGTGAAGATTAAAATTTTAAACTCTGATTGAAATGGGATGATCAGAGAGATAGTTTAGTGGACACTACTGAAAGACCTGTAAGCACAGGACTGTGTGTCTGATCAGATGTCCCAGTTGCACTGAAAGATGTGGCCTCCCTGGTTTTCCAGGCACAGGCCATGGGCCTTGGGTTATGCTACAGAACTGAGAATGAAGGAAACGCGACCATTTGGATGGATATTCGACATTGTTATGGCAATGCCAGTACAGTTTCACCTGTGGTGTTGGTATTGAGAATAGGTTTTGAGGATCCTTATCTTTCACAGGTTCATATAAAGATAATATGGTACCAGGGAGGAAATGGGTGGAGGAAAGAGTGAAAGAAGATTAGGCTCTACATGAGTAAATGTTGAAGCTGGCTGAAAGAAACATAATTTATTACAGTATTTCCCCACTTTTCATATATTTGGAATTTTCTGAGATAATTTTTTAAAAAAAGAATAGACTGGATTGAAGGAGAAAGCAGTGGGACCAAAGACATGTGGAGCGCTGTGACAAGTGAAGGGCTTGTGATTCAGACAGGTCACTGAAAACGACCCTGCCACACGGCAGACTCAGAAATAAGCATCGACAGCCTGAACTACGTCCACATTTACACATTTATTTGGGTTTAGAGAGACAACACAGATAAAATACTTGGATCATACACAAGTTTATATTTGGTAAGAAGAACAGCTTGATGAATATTTGTGTATTTTCTTTTTAAATTTTTTCTGTCTTTAGTAATGGAGTGATGCCAGGAGAATGCTGATGTTGCTCAGAAACACCAATTGGGAACAGTATTTGGCACACAGTACTAATAATTACACGGCATTTGCTTTTAGCACTTGAAAACAGAAGAGCACATGCAAGATGACATCCAGTTTGAGCTTCCTTGATGCATTTCCCGCTACTATATTTACACCTGTGCTTTCATTGTCAGTATTCTAAGGAGCAGCAGGTACTCCAGGGCCCAGCAGAACCAACACCTGCCATGTTGGCAGTTTATGACACTCCATATCTGTTTTCTACCATTCTCAGAGACAAAGTAGTGTCACCTTGCATTTTGTGAAATCACACATTTCTCAAAGGCAATTGCTCAGGAGGAGGCTTAGCCGACAGCATGTTCTCTATTAGAGCTGATATGGAGGGCATACAGTTTGGAGGAGGATGAGGAGAGAGAGAGAGAGAGAGAGAGAGAGAGAGAGAGAGAGAGAGAGAGAGGGAGAGAGAGAGAGAGAGAGAGAGGAAGAGCAAGAGAAAGGTGCAAATGGAGTTCTTATAATATCAAAGTTCAATACAGCTACCACATAGAAGACAAACCAATAATATATTGTACAAGCTGTTACAGCAACACGTCCATTGCAATACTGTACAGTTCATATACAAAGTGCACAACCCCAATTTGAGGTGACAAGACAATACTATCAATATAATAAAGGCAAAACAGCCACACACATAATTGGTTTCCTTATACCCTGTGACAGTACATGAAGTACATATCATTTGTAATTCTCAGATAAAGACATACTTATACTTTGTTCAAGTAATAGAAATAAAGAACACAATATTGCTGTATAAATAAAAATGGCCATGTTATTTCTGATTAAAGCTAAAACCAAACACTTCTAAAATTTATAAAATATGGTCTCACATAAAGACCTTTGGCACAAGGAATTTGGGCTGATGTTCAAAACCATCTCCCTCTCTCTTTCTTTCTTCCTTTCTTTGGTTCCTCTTTTCTTTCTTCCCTCCCTCCCTTTGTGGAGTGAGTTACCAATGTACCTTAAAGAATATTTACTAAACTGCTGAGACCCATTAGTTCTTGTTTGGTTCTTTTTCAGGGCTACTGTTGGTGAGGATTTTCCTAGGTTCCCACAAAACGAAATAACATGGAGTGGGCTGGAATTAGGAGAGACAATCTGTTGGTAAAAATTATTTTGCTAGATTTCAAAGTCAGGCACAACTTCTTTTAAATTCTGTCACCTCACCAAGCTAAGAAGCAGCTTCTGTTATAACATTGGCTCCTCAAGGTCCCAAAGCAGAAAAGAGCTAGTCCATCAAGACACCAGGCCTCCTGTCTTCTCTAAGTGAAAGAGCGGGTTTGGTAAACTAATGCTTCTTTCTCTGAAATGAGACCTGGGAGCAGGAGGCGTGAGATGCATGGTCAATTGTGTGCTTTATTCTTTGTACCATTTCTAGGGAGGAAATGGGTTCTTCTCTGTTAGAGAAAGCCTGAAATGGGACGCTGTTCCTTCATGGAATTCTGCAACACGGATTCTTTTTTCAATTGCCAAAGGGAACCCATTTACTTCCTAGACAAAGAAAGCCTGAAGCCATTTTCATATCAATTATTAGCAATTTGTACATAACCTGAAAGAAATAAAGGAGATGCAAACTCATGATTTCAGGTGGTTGCATCCTGTGGTTATATTATGGGGTATTTTTATATGCTAAAGAACAAAGTCTTCCTTCTTCTGTACCTGTAATTTTTCTAATTACTGAGCTGCCCTTTTCATATAAAAAAGGTAGAATGTTTCTGGATACATGTCTGCAATGTGTGCATATAAGATTGAAGCTCTCTTGCCAGCATTTGGAGTCTGACTGTGGCCCCAGAAGTAACCACAATAGCTTGTGTTAGCTCCTGCCTCTCCACCACGTTTGCAGGGAAAGAGAGATGATTTTAAAATAGTATTTTGAATTCTGAACACTGCTGTATATTCTGGTTGCTTCGAGCCTTGGTCAGAAACAGATACAAGAAGGTCTTAGGATATCTCAAAATCTAGAGTGAAGAGCTCCCTTTACAAAAGGCAGGTAACTTCCAGGACTATGAATTAATTACTTGGCATCCCAGTGATAGAGAGTTTGGCAGGATGAGACCTTTGTGTAAAGAAATGGGGAGGAAAGGAGGATATACAACCAACCACCCAGGAAGTAAAGGACTCCTGGACAGTAGCAATATGGCACCCAGGTGATGTCGTTACTGTCACACAGAGATCTCATCTCACAAGGCCGAGTTTAATATTCTGGGCTCATCACATTCATTGTTATTTGCTCAGGTTGACTAGGTTTTATCTTTTCTCTAGTTAATTCAAATGATCTAATAAAAGAATACTGTTTGGGAAGATGCCTTAAAAATCAGCATCAACCTTTTGTTCTAAACAGGTCAAACTGGACAGCAGAATAGAGATGATTCTCCTAATCTAATCTAAGATGAAGCCTGGCTTCTCATGTCCCAGAGTGGGCCTGCTAGGAGAAACTAGCTGGGAAATTTTAAGTGGAAAGAGAATCTTAATTGTTGATCTGATCAATTATTTTTATCAACCTGCTGTATTTTTTGTGTCTGTTTTGAAACAATAATTTTAGTGATGTGATTAAGCTGTAAGTGTACTGAAAGAAGGAATTATACATTTGAAGAACTTTGTGGGCCTATGTGTTAAAATAACCTCGCTAAGTATTTTATTGTGCCTCTATTTAAAGAAAGAGAAAAAAAAATCTGGCTTAGGTTTAATATCTGCCCCTGAAGTTTGTATAACCCATAAAAAATAAAAATCTATGTGTTACAAAATAGGAATTCTTTTTAATATATATATTTTCCTTTTGTAAAATTATATGTATTTAAATACATTTGAAATGTTATTATAAGTAAATTAGAAATTTTTTCTAATACTATGCAAAAGGCAAGAGTTTTAAATTGTCAACATACATTTTAATTACTTTATCCTTTTCACTGTACCCCAAAGAACCTTTTATGATTCAGGGGCAGTTTGGCACTATTCAATCTTACTACTTTGAAGAGAAAATAAAGTTTGATTTGCACACAATATTAAAAGCAAGGGAAATATTTATAACAATTTAAAGCTTTTCCTTATTGATTAGAACACAGCCTGTTGTCACTAATTAATATAGGTGTTCTAAACTTAAGAAAGGAATTTTTAAAGGAGCAGTGTTTATTTCTTTAAATTTTTAAATAGTACTCTACTCTGACACCACAATATAGAAATAGATTTACTTTGGAACAAACTACAAATACATTTACACAGTTTGTGGCAACTTAATTGTCTACCTAGAGAATTGAAACAGCTTGGCGAGTTAGGTTATTATAAATCTTGTCCAAGGCGCTCTATTTCTTCAATCAGGAAGTCAATGTCTTGGTGAGTTGCTGCAGGGTTTGAGATGACCATGCGGAAGAAATTGACCTTGTCTCCCAAGGGTTGGTAGCTGACCATTGTGGTCCCATGCTCCATCATTCGGGCTTTAATCACTGGGGCAACCTGTGGGAGAGACCTTATCAGAGCTGTGGCTGTTTCTCCAGAGGACTCTCCCCTAGTCAAGGACCCTAACAACAGCAAGTAGTGTTTTCAGTTTCTAACTAAACAAACTATTTTCCTCTTGAAGAAACTGTCTTTAAGTTTTCATGGGATCAAAGGACCAGAATGGTTCAAAATGTTCAAGGTCAGGTATGTGATATGAAGAGTAATGCTAAACAATTAGGCATTTGCTATCTTAGCATTGATTTTCTAGTTAGTGTTTTGGGAAAATGAGAGTAATCTGGTATTGGTCCTAAGGGTAAATGACAGCAATAAAACCATTGGAGTTTTTCTTCCAGAAAATATAAAATTATTGGAAATAAAACATGGTTCTTAGAATTGTTATCAAGGTGAATCAGTATCAAGTGACGTATGAAGATAATAGACTTTTGGCAACTTTGTTGCAACTTCAATTTTTCTAGTTTCTTTTTATTCTTCTTTTGTGTTACCTCTGTTTATATTTTGAAAGATCCCACTTAATAAGATAAAGAATCAGCTGGAGTAGAAGTCTGAACTCAGAGGACTTCACATACAGATGTGCACAACAGACCAAGGCTTTCAGTTATGCCCGACTGTTCATTACAGCCTCAGTAGTTACCTCCGGTACATGACGTTAAGCTGGAGCTCTCTAGCTCGGCACAAGGCCTCTGCTATCCAGCTCTGAGGACCCGACTCCACTGCTCACCAACCGCAGTCTTCAGCTCTGACAAGACTAATTTATTACACAGCCCTTGGATACACTCTGCCGTCCATATTTTCATCTCTTACACTTGTTACCAATCTCACCGCATCACACTGGTGCTTTTTACTCAGAATTTCTTTCTCCTCCAGTTCACATCATATACTCCTACAGCTGCCACACAGCTTTTCCTGCTTTCTTCAAATCACCAGTGTCTTTCTTCTAAGTTTTAACTCTACAATTATGATTATATGTGGATTTCCTGTTGGCCTCTAATTAGTAAGTAAATTTTCTCTCTCTACCTCAATTGTAGGGTTCTGGAGGGCATATCTGGTCCCTTTTACTGTTAGTGCTTCCCAGCACAGTGCTAGGTACATGCTGAGGGCTTTCTTAGTTCTAATCAACTATACAGAATAGAATAATAGCAATAGCTACTTAGGAAGTGGCACATACTTATGTATTATCCTACTCAATATACGATCTGTCCATATATATTTACCACTGGCCTTTGTATATATAATCTGCAACTTTTTTTTCCAGTGCTAGGGATTGAACTCCAGGCTTCATGTGTGCTAGGTAAGCACACCATCACTGAGCTACATCCTCAGTTCTTTATAAAATTTTTCCAACTTTTGAGACAGGGTTTTGCTACGTTGCCCAGGTGGATCTCACACCTGTGATCCTCCTCAACTATCCCACACTGTATCCCTCAGCAGCTAGAATTATAGACATATGCCACTGTGTCTTGTTATCATCTACTCTTTCAAGTTCATTGTTGCAAATATACAACAAAGAATGACAGAAATTAGAGGAACTTTAGACTTATTTGAGATGGACATGATCAGAAACTTCGTTGAAGAAGGGGACCATCACATAAGGATTCAGCGTAAATGAAGGATAATTGAATTGAAATGAAGGGCAATTAGAGTCACATTATGAATGTGTGACTTTTGAATATTAACTAATTTATGTTAATACTACGTAGCTATTACTTTACAAAGAGCTTTTAATCATTAAAGCACTCGATGCACAAAATCAGGAAGTTCCATATGAGGTCTAGTTATTTGTTGGCTACCAAAGACAAAGCCACCAGACACCACCAGCACTTCACATTCTGTAAATAGTTTCCTCATCTAAAAACAAAGATGGAGGATGATCCCAGCGCTGAGACATCTCATTCTAGATTGACGAGTTTTATGTTCTTTCCTTCCTTATTCCATGTGGAGATGGTGTAAGAGGAACATTTCTGTTCAGTGAGTTGTTCTTTCACTTAAAGGACTAAGGATGTATGCAGGATACTGGGTCCATCCCAGGGAATACATGTTAAAAAAACTCAAGTATCCTGAGTCTGGACTAAATTCTGAAAATGGATCTCCTAGAATATCCTAGACAAAGGACCTGGTCTTTATCACTTTGTGCTGCAAGGCATGGCAGGTCAAGGTATTGTTGGGCACAAAAAAGTCCCAAATTAGAAAGAGCATTTCAAATCCACACAGCTGGAGAAATTTAAGGTGAAAAAAATCACAAAGCTTTCCCTTAGCTTTATTTGTATAAGTCATGCTTGACCTTTGTGTTGATACAACAATGATAATGCTTCACTTGAGTGATTTGAAGTCTTATTTCATTTTCAGCAAAACCACATAGAGTGACACTAGCTATTAAGGACAAGCATCTCTGACTTTTCATGTAGATGCAAATCAAAGGTCAAAGATGAAAGTTAACAGCTACATCCCAAACAGGTTTTGACAGGAAGTGAGATTCAATCCCCACATTCCTGAAGCAAGCTGAGCTGGCAGGAATTGCATCTGCCTATATTCACAGGACTTTTGATTACTTCTAGAAAACGCTGAGGAACTAAAATTAGCTGAAGAGTGGAATATGTATTTTATTATTATTCACTAATGGAAAATTTCAAAGGAAAATAAGATTCTACTCTGATAAACAGACATAGAGTTTTCTTCCATTTTTAGATTTTTGGGGGCTCAGTTTCTTGGTTTTCTGAATGAAGAAAACCAGTTAGGAAAGAGAGGGATTTCATGTTGAAGAAATCACTAGACATCTAATCAATATGAGATCTTTGGGAGTGCCTTAAAATAATTAGGGTATTATTTTCTCTCTCGTGCCATTTACTTTTCAATCCCTTAGAAAACAATAATCAAGGGACTATTTCTAAATTTAAAATCATATTTGTTTCCTCATAAGAAGGCTTGTTGTCATTATGAAAGTCTTAGACACTATCATAGAAATTTATTTTTTGTTGTCTGTTAGCCTTTTTGTTTTTAAATCTTTGAAACCTGAGAAGTATTTGAAAAATGAGAAAGGAGAATAGGCATAAATAAGACATTCTAAAATGTTAAAGTCTCACTAATTAAATTCCATATTAACTCAACAGACTTTTAAAAAGTCACATTAAATACAAGGCCAAATTATTTCCTTATCAGTTTACTATTAAATTCATTAGGCTTTTGAAAGTCATCCATCTGTGTAGTATTACAAAAGCTGAGTGAAGAGATGCAGATAATGATCAAGAATAGTTAAAATAAGAAGAGGGGCTGGGAGTGTAGCTCAGTGGCACAGTGCTTGCCTACTATTGGTGAAGGCTTCAACTACTATTGGTGAGGAACTCAACCCCAGGATTAAAGAACAGCAAAACTAAAACCAATCAAACAAACAAACAGAAGAAGAGTAGGATGAAGAAAAGAACTAGACACACAAGAGGTGGTCAAAACATCAGCCTTTGGTCTCGTGCCTAGAGTCTCTTGACACCCTTCCCTGGGTCTAAGGTGTGTGGTTGTGGATCTGTTGCTGCAGGACCAGGCACTTTCCACTGCTCTTCCTGGGTGATTGTGTATTGCCTGGATACTCACAGCTCCGCCTGGGCAGCAGGAAACTCACCCACCAGACTGTCATCTTTTCCTCCTCCTGAAGATGTCGCTACTTGATTTAGTAATAATGATTTCTGTTATCTGCCCGTGCTTGCTGGGAAAGGCTACTCCTAGGTGTCCTAAATGTTGTTTCCCTTTCTTACTGTAGAGAAAGCAAAAGTACTTGCTAGAGCTGCATGTTGGTGTCCCAACCTCAAGTTCTCAGCATGATGGTGTCACAAGGTAGGGGGTGTTTGGAAAGCTGCACCTTCATAAATGGCTTTACTGCCTCATACAGCAGCCCTCAGAGCGCTCCTTTGTCCTCTTTCTGCCACATGAAGATGCAGAGTAAAAGGTCCAGCTACCATGTCAGCAGACAGACTCTGCCAGCACTTGACCTGGGGCCTTCCAGACCTCAGAACTGTGACAAACGAATTTCTGCTGTTCTCAGCCCACTGGATCTTTAGAAGTTTGTCAGGGTAGCCAAAGACTATGACAGTACTTTAATTCTAGAAATGATTGTTAAGTATCTAATGGATCCTAAACCCCGTTCTGAGGCATGAGGGTACAGACAGCAATTCCTGATCTTGCCCAGAATTTAACTTCATTCTCTTGTCCCCAACACATTACATGGAAACTTCCATGTCACCTCTTGTTGTGGGTCCCTGTCAGCACAGAGAGCTAAGAGGACCATTGGAGAGGTTGTTGTCTGTTTTAGCCATTCGATAGTCACTAGTTCCAACTGGGCTCTTGAAATGCGGCGAGCGTGACTGAACGCTGAAATTTTAGTTGAATTTAATTCTAATTGATTTAAATTAAATGAAAATAGCCACATGTAGCATTTTTTTTTTGTATTGGTCAGATTATTGCAGCTTACTTCTTTCTTCTCCAGAAGTGTTTGTGTAACAAGATTCAGCAGCTTCCTGAATATTATACTCTAAGGGTTTTATAATTAATAAGAAATTTTCTGAAACTCAGAAATATTATTGACATAGACAAATGAAAAGTAACTTGAATAGTTCACTTGATTCTACTTTTGTATTCAAGTGTACACTGAATTCTATTACAGTAATGAAAATATGGTCAGAGAACAAAAAACTCAGAATTTGTTTCACAGTTCTCAGAGACTTCCAAATTTGAATTAAGAACAGCAGAAACATAATCTACTGTTTACAAATTCTAATTATTGTCCTCAGGAAATAATCTCCCTCACCATCACAAGTTATGTGATATGCTGAAATCTAAGAAGTTTTTGAAAAACTGTATTTAAATGTAAGAATCTCAGAATTGGACTTTTTCTCAGAAAAAAAAATGCTTTTGTTGGGTATTCCCACCTTGACCCATTTACCAGACCAATGACAGTGAGCTGATTTAACAAATAAAACAAGTCACACTCCTGTATGAGTCTGTCTGCTTAGCAGGTTTATTAAAGAACCAAATAGCATATGAATGAAAAAAATCTAACTTCTAACTAAGTAAAATCAGTCATTATCAAGTTAATTTATACTATGGATAATCAGCATCATACAATTTCAGGGTAAAAACTGAACTGTTTTCTTTCAAATGATTGTAGACCCAATTTACCTAATTTTTTTTAACCTGCTGCTATATCTTGTCTAATGTGACCTTTACTCCCTCTCACTCACTTCCTGGGCTTGCTATACTGGAATGAACTGATTTACCCAAACTTCAAACATAAGCACCCCCAGTCCCACCCCAGATGTGTGCATCATGAATCCAGGTTCTGGAAATTTTCTCCCATTTGTTCTTAGGTCAGTGGTTCTCAACGACAACGTTGCTCACTAGAATAACCTGGAGAACTCTCAGAAGTATTCCCAGTTGCATTCAAGAGCAATCAGATACAGTTGTCAGGGTAAACCATGGTCATCTGATTTTATAAAATTTTTGATGACCATAATGCACAGTCAAGGTTATGAACCACTATTCTAATTAGGAGGCTTGGTTTAAAAGACCTATGGCCCAGCATTAAGTTTCCTCCCGATAAGAAGTTTGATTTTAGGTTGTTTAAGGGCAGCTATTAATATTTATGAGTTCTTTTGGAGGACTTTAAATCTATTTAAAATCTTATTTTTGCCTTTGTATAGAAGGCTATACTGTCTGAAAGATCAGTGAGGTATTTAGTTCCTTATTAGTGGGGAAGATGGCCTGTCCTGCTTGCAGCAGTGACTGGCAATGGCTGGACAAGAGTCTCTCTTTTATGGTAAATAAAGAAATCCCAAATCAAACAATCAACTCTTTGAGATCCAAATTACCCACTCATTCCTATTTTTCCATTCCTGTAGCACCTAGAGATATGGACCTTGCATTTACAGCATCTCCATTGATAGGCATTTTTTTGGGGGGGGGGTCTTTTTAGACAGGTTCTCGCAGTTCAGGCTGCCCTTGAGCTCACTTTGTAGCTCAGGCTGGTCACAAACTTGCAAATGATTCTCCTGTCTCAGCTTCCTGAGTGCTGGGTTACAGGAGTACACCACCATACCTGGCTTTTAAGAAATTTTCTTTGACCTCATTTTCTTCTTTTTTCTTTTTTTGGTACCAGGGCCAGGGGATTGAACTCAATACCTGGTGTATGCCAGGCATGCCCTTGTGCCACTGTGCTAAATCCCCAGCCCAATTGATATGCATCTTAAACCATGCTTCACCCATATTAAATGTTGGGAGCAGCCAAGGATCAATTACAAATAAAAATATATTTTACTGACCAGGGTAGAACTTAGCTGAATCTCTCAGACTCTGGGGTCAGACTTTCTGTGTGATTTTGGGAAAGTGATTGTTTTCTCTTGTTCTTCAGTTCCCCCAACCAGGTTACCATGAGAATTTAAATGATCTTATATCCCACACATGCTAAATGGTGGCTGTTATTATTGCTCCTTGCCCTGTCACCTCCCAGGATTGCATGGTTCTAAAGACCCACAGTAGCTTTGACCTTGCATCTCCTGAAGGTCAGCAACAGTTTTTTTTTTCTAATGATTTCAAATATCCAGAGTGTCTTTTGTGTTTGTACCAAAACTGAGTGCCAGTTTTGCTTGGCAAACTGGTTAACTCCCAATGAAATGTAATGCTGCTTTCTGAATACCAGTAAAGGTCATTGCCTAATTACTAATTGTAAGGCACCATAAAATCCACAAAAGCAAGCAAGGAGAGTTGCAGGGGACCTGACTACATTGGCTCTGTACGTCCTAGCTGTGCTGGTGTCCACTGGGAGCAGTGGGCTAACACACCCAGGTGAGACTCCTCAGAAAGACACGCACGCATCATTAGAAGGCTTCTCACGTGAGAGGCTCAGTGTACACACATGCACCAAAGTGCAGCACTTACCTTTGAAAGGCGACTCATTCTCTCCTCGTTGTCCTCTAGAGCACGCAAGCTGGGTGGCACATACCAGAAGCAGACATTTGTGTGCTGAGGCTACAAAGAGGAGACTAAGATTCACAACGGGCTCCACTGCAAGGTTGGAGATTTAAAGGACATTTTAAATCTCTTTATTCCTCATTCAGAACACAGTGTGTGTTTTCAAATTGACAATTTCCTTTGGAGCGCCTCACGTTCTCATTATACAGACTCACATGTGGATTTGATCTTCCTTCTAGTTCAGAAGGGCGACCCGTCCTCACCACTTTGCCTCTTCAGTGGTCCCACTTAGCTGCACAGCATCTTATTTTATTTATTTATGTATTTATTTATTTTTTGATACCCAGGATCAAACTCATGACCTTGCACTTGTCAGGCAGGCATTTATGCCACTAAGCTAAAACCCCAGTCCACAGCATTTTGTTTACACCAGAAAATAGCAGTGATGAGGACTGGAACTGATTAAACTTCTGAGGATTGCTGAAATCTGCATACATACCTTCCCATCAATCACCATTTCATATCCCTCTCGGTTTTTTATGATATTGTATAAATACTCTGCCAGCTCCAGACACTTGTCAATATGTGCTTCGAATCCAATAGTCCCCTACGAGAGAAGAACAGAGCTCAGCAGGCAGGCTGACCATGTGGATGGGACGCTGGGGCAGAGCTGCCCAGCGCCGTGAGCCCTCATGGGACCTATGGTCATTGTGCTACTTTTTTCTCCGTGCTGTCCTGGCACAGTCCTTTCCCATGACTGTTTCCAGAGGCTTTGCTGGCTGGCGATTATTTCCCCGTCAGTGCTTTTCCCCGCAGGTGCTTTCGCTCCCTGGCTCCTTTCTCCCTTCAGCCTCTGTTCCCCAGGCAATCATTCTGATTACTCAAGGGGAAAATTTGCCTCTACAGCTCATGGAAGTAATCATAGAGGTCATTCATCACAGAAGGACTGGACGAGTCTCCTCCGGCAGATAAAAAGCATCATCCGTGACCCTCAGGGAGTCTGGCCCTGCCACCACATAATTCCCCGCCCCCAGATCCCACCTTTGTTCACCAGTGTACCTCACTGTAGAACAAATGCTGAAGGAAACCCAAGTTTTAGCTGAACAATGAGTGACTCACAGGCAACATGCAAGTGCTTTGTTAGCCTGTCGCCCTGCCAGGCTCTTCAAGCTATTCTTAGGTGATGGGTAAGTGACTCATGTCTCAGCTGGGTGAATACTGACACAGGGCTTTCAGTTTCCAGCTCTGGAAGCTTTGGATCTATACTTAGGAAAAACAACTCAACAGCTTTAGGCTAGAGCCATGTCAGTGATGTCAGGACACACTAGGGAATCACTCTTCAAAATGACTTTCCTCCAATCTCCTTCAGCATTTCCCAAATACTAATGGAAAGCTCAGGGAAACAGCGACGCTCATCCTGGGAGCACTGAGAAGTCACCTACCAGTGGCCAATCCAGCATGGGAACTACAGGGAGCAATGGTGGCACAGGAATTCTGGGCCCACTTCTGTTTACACGTGTTTGCATCATCTCACAAAAAAGGGGGACCCAGCACGGGCTAGTGACTCATAACAACTAAAGTGTGTTTAAACCACACTGAAGAATTTAATGGGTCAGAAATCCATTTCATTGGTGATTGTTGTCCCAGCTGATTGACTCAGGGAGGCTCGTGACTCAGGAGGGCTCAGGCTGACGTCTGAACACTCAGATGAGCAGTTAGGCCACATGCACCAGGAGTCTGGTGGGTGCTAAGGAAACTTGAGCTGGTTTGGCCTGATGGGGCAGCTGGGCACCACTGAAAATGGACTCTGGCTTTAGAGGCTCCCTCAGGAGGGACTGGCTTATGTATCAGGGACCTATTTTTCCTACAGACATATGCATATGTCATTAAATGCTGCTTCTGAAGCAGCTACTGGATGCCCCGCTGCTATCTCTATTTCCACCACTGCCACCCTATTTCAGGACTCTTTCTCTTCCTCAGGGCTGTGGTTCCTTCATCATCCATCAGTCAGTTTAGATTCTCCACTGCTCTCAGGCTATACTTCTGAGCTCCTGCGTGATCTTCTTTGCAGAATGTCCTTCTCGTAGCCCTACTGTTTGAAATCTTATTTATTCTACTATTTTGTTTAAGCACTATGTGAGAGGTCATTTCTTGATAAAGCTTTCTTGATCCTCAAACTATGAATGAGCCGTCTCATTCTCCATTCTGTGTCTGCACTTCTTTTATGACCAGTTATATTCCATCTTATATGACAGGGATTTACTTCTGTATTTTTTTATCCTGCCCAGAAAACTGTAACATTCTTATCATATCCCATTCAGCACCAGGCACAGTAACAGATATACAATAGCTATTCATTACAATTAACTAATATTTTAGAGAGAAAGTGAACAGTCACTCAGCAAAAGATGCCAAACATCAATTTTCCTTAATAAATTTTCATGTTTTTCTTGTCCTCAACCATTTGCCAGTCTTTTTGTCACCAATATTTTCCAATTAGAGTGGCCAATCATAGAAAATGACAAGAAAACTTGTCAATTTGTATAACCATAGACAAACATGAAGATTTACTATAATATTTTAATCCCTTGTAGCAGACCTAAAAATGGGGCAATAATTTTAAGGCATGTTTATTTTGTATGCTGTTGAGTTTTAACCACTAGGAAAATTTGTCAACAAGGAAAATAAATACCAACATCTTAGATTTGGAATAACATATGATAAAATGAAGGCCTACTTAGGAAGAACATGCTTACATTTATTGTTAACAGCCCACATCATATTGCATCCACCAATACTAATCAAATTATCTTGGACTTAGTGTAATGGCTCCCAGCAGGGAATTAGCTTCATTTGTCATTAACAGTTTAGTTTGTAGAATGTCAGTTTAGACTTAAGTTTCTATTTTTCCATGTGGTTTATTTTCAGAAGGAGAAAACACAGATAACCAGAACACTGCATTCTCTAGGCCAGCTGAGTTTATTGGATTAGCGCTCTATCATCTCTCCTTTTTCACTATTCTTTATCAGTTGATTTTCTCGTTCCTGTGGTGACAGAAGACAGACCATCACAGCCAATACTCCCATGGTTCTTCATCTGTGGTTGTTTTGATTAGGGAGCTTTTGACCTATGTTGTAGGACTGAGCTTATTGCTTTAATAACTATCATTTCATTCTGTAAACGACACAGCTTTAGGTTAAAAACAAAATGGAAAATTTTTCCTTTCAGATATCTAGGGAGTTGAAGTTTTACAAAAGAAATTAAAAAGAATGTGTATTCACAAGGCTTGTAGCACCTGTGATTTGTCTTTTTTTTTTTTTTTTTTGTACCTCCTTCTTTAAGTAATTTTACTTCAGTAGTTTAGAAATAGCTCCTTTGCTTTTACTTTGCTTGTGGTCTGGTCCTGCTCTTTGATTTGCACCTGATGCTCACCAAGTTATTTTTCTAAGAAGCAACAGGCAGCGCCATGCTGGAGGGGAGGCTCAGACGGAAAGGGAACAGCAGGAACTAATGAGCCACAAGAAGCATTTTTGTGTAAATATAGCTAATGATCATCATCTTAATAAAAAACGCCATGGGAAAACAGAAAGAATGATCCTTGAAGTAAAAGCGCTCTTGCACATCATGTGGAGATCAAGCTTTCCTCAACTTACTGTCTGGTACTTAATGTCTATAACTGTAATTTCTACCAATCAATTGAATAAAACTTGCTTATTTTAAAATTGATTGGGAATAAGCCAATAATTCATAGCCTTAACTGTTTTCCAAGCCCAACAACAGAATGAGTCTCATAGATGTTGGGTGGTAGGGACCAGTTACATGTCCTTGTCAGATCCTCAGCTTTGGAAAGGGGAAGGAAGCCTCTGACCAGCCACAGGGATGAGAGCGCAACACACTCACTCTTGCCAGCTGTCACTGAAGTGTCACACTTTGTGTAGCTGCCTGATGCCTAGCAACACTTGGAAAAACTTTGCTTGGAGTAAACACTATTATGGAGACTTGCCTGGAAGCCATGTAGGCCAGTCATCTCTGGACACCATCTAAGAGTTATTTTTGCATTAAGAAAGACTATCTTTCTGTTCAAATTGTTTCTTTTGACAGAATAGATTTAAAGAAGATTCTATGAAGTACTGTAGATGGCACTGCCTCTCTTTCAAATCCCTTCTTTTTGTTGGTAGTCGCTCTACTTTATCTGAACCACTAAAGTCAATTCTGTTTATTTGGAGAAATATCTCTCTCTCTCTCTCTCTCTCTCTCTCTCTTTCTCTCTCTCTCTCTCTGTCTTTCTCTCTGTCTCTCTCTGTCTCTCTCTCTCTGTCTGTCTCTCTGTCTGTCTCTCTCTCTGTCTCTCTCTCTCTCTCTCTCTCTCTCTCTCTCTCTCTCACACACACACACACACACACACACACGCTCACAGTATATGGAGCTTCCCAGGGTGCACATGGTTCCTACCCCTACACAGACCCTAGGAAGGAGCCCCTCCTTCATCTCATTCCGATGTGCCTCACTTCTACTGACCAAGTCACCCACTGGTTTCTACTGGCTTAAGCCTGTTATCTTTTTGTGCAGGCTAATGCCAAGCACATAGCTAAATATGTGGCCTCTACTACACACACAGGCCCAAAAGTACATCAGCCTCCCTTCCATCTCTCCTTTCATCAGTCTCCTTTGTCAGTTTTCCCTAGAACCCCATTTTTGCACCTGGGTTTTTATAGCATGCACTGATAGCTCTGGTCATTGCTTGGAGAAAAATCAAACCACTGGGCCTAAAAGTTGGGAATCCAATTGAAACTAAAAATCAAATCATTTATCTTTGCTGCCTGCCTACATTTGACATAAATATACCCTGCTGAATGGCTGTGATGAGACTCATCCAAGCTCTAGTTAGAGATTACTTTGCTGCAACGGGAAAGATCATCTATAGGTAAATTCTGAGGTAAACAGAACTCATACAAAAGCAGGCAGTTGGTTATGTCTGAAGTTTTTAAAAAGACTGTTACCATTAAAAGTTATTTCTTAAAACATCAGAAATAAGTGATCATTGTAGACAGTTTTGCATTTTTCTGTTCTTCCAACATACCTTCATATTGCACTGACCTAACAAGACAATAATCACTGAGTGAAAACCACCAGCTCAGGATGAAATAAACCACACAACAAAAATGACAAGAAGAAATACCTCTTACAAATCAAGGTAATCTGCCACATGCAGCAGAATGGATTTGTTTTCTATATGTGGGCACTAGAAGTTACTGGGCTGACAAGAAAACCAAAAGCAGGTTTGACTATATTCTTACCCATGTAGAATGCAGGTATATAGACACAGGATTCAAGAAATTGAATGTGAGTAATTTTCAACTTAGTTAATTGATTTTTCGACATGTCACCAGATAGCTGCTTCTTGTTAGCTGACATGTACTCACCTTTGCCCTCCACATGAGCCATAGTTTAAAGACATCCACGTGGCGTCCGCACTGCAGGGCTTTGTCCCCAGTGTCGTAGGACAGGTCGTAGTGTTTGTCTTGCTGAAAGAGGTAGGAGGCGTGCATCTGGTTGCAACTCTGCATCACTCCCTAGAGGAAGAAAAACAGTGAAATTGTACGAACCTATATTGGCTGTTCATTAGCTTTTCACTGTTTTGAGAATTACGAAAGGGGAACAAAACAGAGACATTGTGTATTTTGGAGAAAGAAATCAATAAGAAACACACTGAGAAAGAAAAAGATGGGGTTGCTGTCTAGACAGACAATCCAGGCTCCTGAAACGGGGTAGCTTTGTGCCGATGGGCTCAGAATTGAAAGTTACCAGAGGCTAACAAGGATGTACTTGTATTTTTATGCTTCCTTTTAAGAAAAGACATTTATTAAAAATAAGAATAAATAAAAAATCACAGAGTATGCTATTCCTTAGGAGAAAGTCCTGAGGTTCTGGTTTTATTGAAAATATTTTGAACACTCTCCAGTTCTGTAACATATTGTTTAGTGTGCTTCATTGAGTGTCTTCATCCATATCAAGTACAAAACCTTTATTACATAGCTATTAGAGTGTAAGCTGCCTTTGAAAGCCATAGTTTTTCAAATAATTGCTATCCTCTTTATATACTAAAATAAAAAATCAAAGACATTACACTTCTTTTTTTTATTAGTACATGTTTGCAGTGCATAATGATTACATTCATTGTGGGGAGTTGGTACATGTGCATAACACATCCTAATCCTTTTTACATACCCTTCTCCCCATTCCTTCCATCTCTTAGACTTCTTTCCATGTGGAAAAGATCTATCACCCTGTTTCCTATTATCTAAGAGGAATTAAAATAATCAGTCTTTCCCATATTATGTTCTTTCAGTAGTCAGGCTTCCACACTGCACTTTTATACTCAGTTACTTAGGGAAGTTGCAAAGGAAAGTTTCATTGTTGGTGACCATGAATTTTCCCAGGCACCATAACACCAGTAAGCAAATGAGTGGCAATATGATGGACCTAGTCCAACAAATGGGAATGAGTCACGCTTTTTGACTAAACTAGCATCACCAGTCCACTTACTAGAAACCTCATAATGGTTCAATTTGTCACGAATGACTGGAAGTCTAACTCCTTTGTTAGCTACTGTGTAATTGTAGTTTTATAAAAGCTTTGGCATTTGGTTTTTGTTTCTCTTATGACTCATGGCAAGAATAAAAGATTAAAACGTGATCACTGAGTTGAAGTCAGAAATAAGAACACTTTTAAAACATTACTCAAACTAAATCATAGGGTACTGCAAGTGAAAATTTAACCAGCTTTTGAAGGAGGCAGTGTCCCAAAGGTAAAAAGTGGAACTGGATTCTATCTTATAAATCAGGCTTAACATTCATTAAAATCCATAAAGTTATTTTTGAGAATAAGAAAAAGTACGTACAGTGTTTTCGTATTAGAGCAGTATAAAGGTATTGAACTTGAAAAAGAAAATTCACTTAAAGGCCAATATGACATGAAAATTACAACAGGTGCTTCTATTTTACTCCATGGTCACAACACTTTGTATTGTTCTTGCCTTGGCTCTGCAAGGTCACAGTGAACTCCAAGGGAGACCACATCAGCTAGGGTAGAATGGCACAAGGATGAGACAAGCTCTTACTAAGGACATGAAAAATAATTCACTGTGTGTGGCCTCTTAAAGCTCGGACAGTGCCAGCCTCATTACAACTATTCTAAACATGCTAACAGTTGCTGCATGAAATGAAATTCTCATGCTCAAATAAATGGAAGAAACTCTCAGTCCTTTCTATTTTAAATTATTTTCCTGATATATATTTTATTCTTTTCCAGATGCATAAATTTAAAGATAAAATCCCCCAATCCCACATTACTCTCTGGGTACCATCCCACTCCTTTGATCCTTTTAATGGCCAGCTTTCATTGCCTACTAATGCTGTCTCCACTTAATTCTCCATTCACTTTTTTTTAAGAATAGGGAAATTTATTGGGGATAAAGAATGGGGAATAGGAATATTCCCTGAGAGACAGGAGGGGTCCTGAATGGATTGCTTGTAAGTCTTTTTTTCAAAAGATACTGTAATACATATTTACATACTGAAGGCTTTCTCCCTGAAATGCTAAAGCTTGTTTTAAACTCTAATTTTAACCTTTTATAAGCTAAGAATTGCCTTTTTACAGAATATTTATTGTCATATTATGGGATGCTATCATTCATTAGGCCTCAGCAAAAGAAATACTATAAAAGTATCACACATTCTTGGATTTGGATGAGAGTCTAGGCCTCATTGTTTCTACCCAATAAAGGAAACCTTTCTACAACCTTACTAATAAGTGGTTGTCCACTCTCTGTTTAGTCACCTCCTCTGACAACTAATATACTCCTACTACTATTTGACAACTTACTTTTTAAAGTGTTTGTTTATTGCCTCCCAGTCAGACCTAAAATTTTCTGAGTGTTTTGATTTTGCCACCAAAACTCCACCCCCATGTGTTATTAACCCAGCTCTCTTTCCCTAATCCTCAGAGGGAAAACAACAACAGGCACGAATCTCTTCCACTTGACAGTCTTTTAAGTGTTAAAACTGGGTCAAAAAAATCTTTAGTTCTTGAAAGCTTTCACTTTAATATTAGGAACAAGAAAAGGATGTTCACCTCTCCTGTTCAATATAGTTATGGAAATATTAGAGCAATTAGACAAGGAAGAGAGATAAAATAGAGATAGGAAGGAAGAAGTTAGAGTATCATTATTTGCAATGACTTTAGATAGAGGACACCAAAAGACTATTAGATATAAAAACCAAATTCAGTAGTATAGCTGGATGCAAAGTCAACACCCCCAAATCAATAACATTCCTATACACAAACAACAAACTCACTGAGAGAAAAATTAGGGAAACCACACCTTTCACAAAAGCATACAAAGAAATTAAATACTTAATCAATCTAATGAAAGACATAAAAGAGGCATACATTGAAAATTATAGTGCTCTGCAAAAAGAGATCCAAGAGGATATCAGAAAATGGAAAGATGGCCTTTGCTCATGAGTAGGAAGAACCAACATAGTGAAAATGGCCATACTCCCAAAATTGATATACAGATTTAATGCAATCCCAATCAAAATACCATTGGCATACCTCACAGAACTAGAGAAAACATTCCTAAAATTTATTTGGAACCAGAAGAGACCTAGTTATGGAAATATTAGAGCAGCACAAATGATTCTGGACAACAAAAGCAAGATGGGGCATTAGAACCCTGACTTGAAATTATACTACAAAGCTACTATAAATTCTGCAAACAAAACAAAACAAAACAAAGCAAAACACCAAAACAAAAGCAGACCTCAGGATCCCTGGAACAAATTAGAAGATGCAGACAGCTACAAACATACTCAGTCACTTTATCTTTGACAAAGGGGCCAAATGTGTTCACTGGTAGAAAGAAAGCCTCTTTAATAAATGGTGCTGGAAAGATTGGCTTTCCACATGCCAAAGACTAAAACTAGACCCATGTCTACTACCATGTACTAAATTAAAATCAAGATGAATCAAAGATCTAAATATTAGAACACAAAGTCAACTGGAAAAGAAAGTACATTGAACACTTGAAGACATAACAGTAGCAAAGATTTCATGAAGAAAACCCCAATGAAATGGGAAATACTACATAGAATCAACAATTGGGATCTTATCCTTTTGCACAGCAAAAGAAATCACCAACAGAGACGATGACAGCCCACTGAGTGGGAAAAAACTTTTAGCCAGTTGTTCCTCAAAGGACTTATATCTCGAACACATAAAAGAATTGAAAAACATCAGGCACCTCAAATTTAAACACCTATTCCAAAAATGGGCATCTGAGATGAATACACACTTCTCAGATGAAGAAATATAATGACAAGTAAATATAAGGAAAAATGTTCATCATCACTGGTCATTCAAGAAATACAAATTAAAACAACACTGAGATTCCATCTCACCCCAGGAAGAATGGCTATCAAGGAATAAACCAATAACAAATGCCGGCAGGACTGTGGGGGAAAAGGAAGCCTTCTCTACTGTTGGTGGAAGTGTAGACTGGTATAATCGCATGGAAATCAGTGTGGAGAGTCCTCAAAAAACTAGGATTACAGATCCCATTCAATCCAGCTATTTCCCTTCTGAATGTCTTCCCAGAAAACCTCACACTCCAGAAATATATGTGCACTCATGTTTATAGCATCACAGTTTGTAACAGATAAATCTTGGAAACAACCCCAATGCCATAAAACAAGAACAGATAAAAAAAGATTTTTTTTTTCTACATTTGAGTACAACTAAGCCATAAGGAAGGATAAACTTGGAAGATTTGTAGGTAAATGGATGCAATTTGAGAGCAGACTCTTAAGTGTAATGAATCAGTCACACATGTGTAAATATCACATTGTTTCTTTGGCATGAGAAACCAAAAGGGTAGATAAGAACAAACTGGACAATAGATACTGTGAAATAGGGAGAAATTGTTCAAAAGGAAAGAGGAACTAGGGAAGGGAAAGGGGGAAAGGAAGGAGGGGAAAAGAAAAAATAATAAAAGAAGGATAAAATATAAACAAAGTTTTGTGAATAAGGAGGGGCAGGGGAACTGAAGGGAGGAGAAGGAATTGGGGAAAAAAGAGGAAGCAAGATTTATCATATACAGGTGCAGACTCCCTGTGCTGAATGTGATCATTATGTGTATCCAAACTGTACCAATGAACTTAGCAAAAATCTTGAGTTCTTCCAACTACCCATCTTAGATACTGACCAATTATTTCTCATTGTCTGAATTCACTGTTGATGGAGGCTCCATATATTCTCTGGCTTTGAGCTAAGCAAAGCTGCACAGGCATAGTTTAATCACAGGACGTGATTTTCACCCACCTCTTTCATACTGAAACTCAGTGGCTTTATCTTGTTCATGGTTTCTGAATGGCACTTTTTGACTTCTTGTGTGCCCCACAGACTACAACCTAGACAGCCCTATGTCTTGTTCACAAGCGTAATCAGTCTCATGCGAAACAAGCCAAAGTACAGGTGGGAGTACCACAAGATACAAAGTATTGAACCCAAGAGCATAGCTTGACAATAACTCCCACAAGCAGGTTCTCTTTCTGGATGTGGCTTGCTGTAAAACTTATTTTGGGTTTGCCTCTGTCCCCACACTGTGAGACTGTCCTCCAGCTTCTCCTCATCTGAAACACTACTAAGTTTCTGGGTCTTATGCAAACAATCAAAGACATTTGACTAGGACAGGGTGAGGCACCAACCCACAGGCCTGAACTCTTTATGTGCCATGAAGTTACCAGTCAGCACATCTTTCCGGTGCAGCTGTCTCATCAGTTTCAAATCTGCCTATGTTCGTCTGCTCACATTGCTCTTGTTGTCTGCAGTGACATGACATTAGTCACCATCAAGCATCTGGCTAAAATCTAAATAACAAAAGTTTGGTTCTCCCTTTTTAGCAGTACAGCTGGGGTTTCCATTAGCTGATATCCATGATGATACATCAGACTGGAGATATATTTGATGAATGTTCTTCAATGGATTCATCTCATTTTGGAGGGAAGTCTGTGTTCACTTTTGTGTCAGGATTTTTATTCAGTTGATAAAGACACTAAAGCATGCCTATAATACCCTCTGATCTATTTTATGAAAATAATCAACGATCAAAGACACATGTTTAAGAATTTTATCAAGCCACTATGTCTTATGTGTTACGATGTGTCACATTTGGAATATAATACTCACAATATAGGGTTAAGTATAAAAAAGAATAAACATATGTATAATATACATTAGTAATAGCAACCCTTTTAGAGACAATTGCTCAAACTGTAACCCCAAAACCCAGTTATTTATTGCAAAATGCCAACTCTGAAATCAAACCTGAATACGGAGGTTTTAGTTTAGAAAAAACAACTCACATATTAACATCTTTTGCCTTAAAAGAAAAGCAAATGACATGCATGCCATAGGCTCACCACCACTGACATAGGTGATAATAATTTTATTTTAAATATGTAAAACTTACTTAAAGATAAACTATAATATATTCCAAGAAAAAGTATGGGAGAAAATGTTTAAAAACAACAATAATATTTGTCTCTAAATGACAGAATTTTGGGTGACTTTAGATTTATATATTATGCTCTATCCTGCCCAGATTTCCTAAAATAATTGTGTGTTACGTTTGTAATTAGGGAAAAATAAAATGTTTTTAAAGTATGGAAAGATAAATGATGACCTCTTTAGGCTCAGCTGCTTAATTCTGATGAGAAAAATTTTAATAGGGAGAAATGGAAGCTCCTTATTTTGGGTTTTATCAACAAAATAAGCATGGCAATGAGAAGATAGGACTAGGCCTGGCATCGTGGCAACGAGACGCAGAATCCCGGACAAACAGCGCATCCACAGAAAAGGACCTCAGTATGCATTCACAGAAATACCTGGAAGGGGAATGGTCACGACTTAGTCTCATCTTTGCTGGGTGACACATATGCAGATGTCTTCCATTCTGAATGTGGTGTGAAATATTATTCAAAACAATAGAATAATAGAATCGTGAGTCACGTGATACATACACTCACATACACACATGTACATATCTGAATCCTGACACTAATCTTTATCCTGTGTCATGTATATTTTTTAAGGTAAAAATTATATTTTTAATTTGGCAAAAAGCTATCTCTTCTCTTATGTCAGTATAAAACAGGAAATTTACTTTATCAGAGAATAGCAGAGAGTCTCTGCATTAGGAGACACTGAGTACAATAGAAGAAAACGTGTAGGTGATAAAGGTTAAAGCTTTGTTCTGAAAGTGGAGCTCTCCAAGGCTTCTCATGCCCTCCAGGCACCAGACCTTTGCCCTCCAGACAGGCGTTTCCCAACAGCCCTTACTGGGGAATGAGAGCAACCCAAGAAAAGGCATAGCGATACTGTTACTTAGGGAGAAGGTCACAGACAGCGAGCTTCGCAGCAGGCGGGGGCACCGAGTCAGGAAGGACGTACCTCTTCTCTAACCAGGAGAGCCGAGCACTGCAAAGGGACGCCCATCATCTTGTGTGGATTCCATGTCACAGAGTTGGCTCTAAAATAAACAAATGGTGTGAGAGGGAGGCACTCCATGCCGGGCTCAGACTGCTAAGGCTCCACGGGCCACAGAACTTCGCACTCCAGGGGGCAGCACTCTTCCCAAACATGAAGCAGGCTCTCAAATGTGCAGCTTTTCTTTGTATAGACATGGCAGGCTTGGCTATGCACTCCCTGGCTGGGTCTCTTCTCCAGAGCTCCAGTGAAGGCATGCATGCTGCCTCCATGGTGGTCAAAGAACCCTGTACAGTGCCTGGAATCACTGGGCTCAGGGTCCTGACTTTGGCCACTGATGCACAGAGCCCTGGGTAGGTGACAGCACAACATGCATTTCTACTGCCCCTGCTTCTGATGCCCTTGTAGTGGCCGGGAGCTCAGAGGGAACGCTCATTCCACTGCTCCATATTCCACTTCCTTCAACTCTGTTTCTCCCTCTTAGTCCACTGGTGACCAGATACCTCAACTGTGTTCTTTCAGAGAAACTTATAGCTAGTCTCCTGTTTCTCCCTCTTCCCTGACCCAGACTTGTTTTTCCAGGCCAAGGTTTAGCTGCAGTATGGTTTCTCCTTCAGAGGTTTCCAGTTGTTTGTATCCTCATATACCTGAGAAACACAATGTGCTCTCATCAGTAACCGCACCTCACACAACAGTGATGCAGAGCTTGAGGGTTTATACTGTCTCACAAGTCTGAGCTTCTCTCTCTCTCTCTCTTTCTCTCTCTCTCTTTCTTCTTCTTCTTCCTCTTCCTCTTCCTCTTCCTCTTCTTCTTCTTCTTCTTCTTCTTCTTCTTCTTCTTCTTCTTCTTCTTCTTTTTTTCTCCCTCTCTGTTGTAGTCCTGGGGATTGAACCCAGGGCCCTGACACTGAGCTACATCCCAAGTCCTTTTTCATTTTTTAATTTATTTTGAGACAGAGTCTTGCTCAGTTGTCCAGGGTGGATTCAAACTTGCAGTCCTTCTGCCTCAGCTTCCCACAGATTACAGGCTTATATCAGGATGCCTGGCTAAGACTGTGGATTTTGAATTACCATCTCTGCAGCCTTATTTGACTTCCCTCAATTTCTCTCTTTCTCTCACTGAGCTGATCCAACTCCCTCTTTCTCTGATTCCCAGGAAAAGCGGCTATTCCCGCCCTGAATCCCACATTCATTAGCAGGAGGCTATTGGAAGACATCTTCCGTGCCCTTATCTGCACCTCAGGTGAGGCGCCAATGAAGGCATTCCCTGGCCCCTGTGCATCCTTCAGGCTTGGCTCTTCCCTTCGACAGCCTGAATCCCTGGAACCATCTTCTCCAGTGCATCCAGCACACCTGTGCCTATGTTGTGCTTAGTTTCTTTCTCTCCTGCTGCTCCAGTCTCCATCTCCTGGGCCAGCCACTCACCTATCTCCTTACCCCTCTGACACATCCTTTGCTGCTCTTACTTCTGTACCTGGACAGACAGGTGTGACTTCGGAGCTCCTAGCTGGTCCCCGGCTCCCATCTCCTCTAACCCACAGCCATCTTTCTGAACACAGAGACATTACTCCTCTCACCAAACCTGGTGATGGTTCCTATGGCTGAAGTTCTTAATCTTTTTGTCCTTACTTGAGAAATACAATAATCTACCCATAACCATGGCTCACGTGGGGTTGATCCCCAGCTCAGAGTCTTTGGTACATGGGCAGCACACTGCATGATTCTGACTTGGTGCTGTAGTAGGTCCTCAAATGGAGACTCCTGGAGGATACCTCCACACTTTCTGCCAGTTTCCCAGCCACTGCCATGAATCACAGCATCCTCCTCCTAAACTCATGTCAAATTTCTCCAAGGACCCTGTGCACCTTCAGACTTTGGAGTCTCTGCTCTCCGGCCTCCATACCCTTATCTGATGATGCTAGGTAGGCTCCACAGCAGATGTGTGGTGAAAGTTCCCTGTAAAAATGCTGTTTAGGACAAACCATTCTTTCTCTGTGCTCTCCAGCCAGCTCACTGGGACCTCTAGCCTGGAAGCCTGGATCCTGCAGCACAGCAAGGACTGTCACATGCCAGCAGTAGTTGAGAGAGGCACTAAGGAAGTGGTGGCTTGCCATGTGGGGACCCCCTTTGGACCACCAGGGCTCAGGGCACAACCTGTCGGAGATGCCAACTCCCGCATTCTAAAAGTGCTAGCAGCAAAGAAGACAGTCATCTTCTGAAAACCTGGCTGGTTCTTTCCAGGAGATGCCAGGTAGGGTACAGGTGCTTTGACATTTATTGTGAGGAGGGCATTTGGGAATCCCTGCAACTCTCTAGGAAGCTTTGAATTAAGAGATAAGAATTGACCATGGATTTCCTTCGCTTTTAGATTAAGTCCTAATCTTTGCTTTGTGATATTTGGGAAGAAGTAATTTCCTTAAGCAGGGACACATGTCTTTTCTAAACTTAAGGCCATGCACTTTGTGCCCTAGTAGTGCTCACTAGGCCTATACCCTTACACACCAAAGAAAGTCCCTTGCATTAAAAAGTTTGCAAAAGGGGATGTTCTTAGGTGGATGGGTACCTAAGGGTGGGCGGCTTGGTGTTGAGCAGAGCATCAGTACACATTCATTTCTAGGGCTTCATATTTGGTGATTTAATCACAATGCACTCTCAAGAACTGCACAGGAAGCACACAGAGGATTGTGTACTCCGTGGCAAACATGCTGAGATTTGCTCTCAAACTAATCTGCAGCACAAAAGCACGTGGGTGTCTATTTTTCTGAGATTCAAGGTAGGTAACTTAGTGAGCTCTCAAGAGGAGGAGGCTCTGTGGCTTGCAGCATTTGCAGCCACGGGTGACATTAAAGGTAAAACATCAGTGGCACAAGCACCTTCCTGCCAAGCACCAAGTCGTGAGTTTGATCCCCAAAACTCAAAAAGTAAAGGTAAAACAACAGATGCTTTCGATTTGTGCCAGTCAGAAAGAAACTTACAAAATAGAAGGTGCCTCTTGAAAGCCCACAAATGTAAGCGTGTGTGTGTGTGTGTGTGTGTGTGTGTGTGTGTATGGTGGTGGCAAGTGAGCCCAGGGCTTCAAACATGCTAGGCAAGTGCTCTGTCACTGAGCTACACTCAGTCCCTGATCCATGAATTTAATTCTTGTTCTGATCACTTCAGCAGGCACCGTGCAAATTGTTTCTCTCCCTGTCTCTCTCCCTCCCCACTCTCTGCCTCCCTCTCCCTCTTCTCTCTGTTGTTTCTCCTTGTTCAAATCGTTGCTTCTTGCTTAAGCCTCTAATTTCATTTGAATCTTCATGACAGAAATGGATCAGACTAAGGGACAGGACCGGAGGCTTAGAACTAACTGACTCTGAGACTGAGACCCACTGGCCCTCAGCACCCCAACAGCTACATAGGGCCTGAAACAAGGGCATGGACAGCTCTAGAGGCTTAACCCAGCTGTCCCCAGGCCAGACTCTGCCAACAAGGACAGTGACCCTCTGACATGGGCATAGCTGGCCTGTCCTGACCCTGCCACGGATTCAGCATAGTGTCCTTGGGTCCAACCCTCCTTTCGCATGTGTGGGTTCTCTGCATGTGAGCCAGCCTGGGCGTCACACAGCAATCTCTGCACATGCCCTCTGGCCGGGACACTCTGCACGGTCAGTGCTGACAGATGCTCCAGAGAATATCAGCCCATCTCCTTGTTCTGGAATAGGAATTGTGTGATAAGCTGTCTCCCGGCAGAGCTAGTGTGAAGCTTTTCTGGGGCAAGCATCTGGCTGCTTGGCAGGGCATGGTGGTCATTTGGCAGCCTCTGATGAATTTGGACCCTCTCAGGGGCCTGGAGTGCCAGAGTTCACTAGCATGGCTGGCCTTGCTGACGTGCCATGTCGGGATTGAATCCTGTGGGTCAGGAGTGCCTGAGGCTGTGTTCTACAGCCTGCATTTCCTCCCTTGGACTTGAAAATGCTTTATGCTAATCAAATATTACTTCGTTTATTTTTTGCATTTTTTTCTTAAAGGTTTACAACTTAGGGCTCTAAATAAAAGCTATTTTCTGCATCAATCAGAGTGCTGTCAGTAAAAGGTTATTATGAGAAAGAACCCACAGGATGGCATTATCATGAGCATGTCTGACTCTCAGTGAACTGACTGTATTAAATCCCAAATCCAAACTTTCAACATTCATAAATTACAAGACGCTTATTTGAGACAAAAAATAATGTGTTGATTTCGTCAAAGGAGAGGACAGTATTAGCTCAAGGAACATGAAAGTTGTAGATCATGTCCCTAGAAAAATGTGGACTACTTGTGGGTTTTAAACAATTTTGGGCAGAGATTCCAAGAAGAGTCCCCAGACCAAAATTGTTTCTGTGAGATCTGTCTAGCTCACTTGTGGGAAGATTGGATTTTTTGGTAGTTTATATATTCTATAGCAGAGTGCAATATCACACAAGGTGAGGCAGAAAACGCAGGGCAGAGCAGGCTGCCTGCCTCACAGCAGTTTCTAGAAATGGAGCGGCATTTACATTGAGCTTGCAACACCTTACACTGTTAACAAGAAAAATTCACGTACCTCTCCACACCGCTGAGCTTCCACTTGTGTTTCCGGGACATCAATAATCCTCCACCCCAAGCTGCCTGAAAAGCATCAAGCAAAGGAAAAAGGTTTTCATTTCCATATTTTGGTGCCTTTTAGAATAACAAGTCTCAGAGTGAAACTGATCTGCCTAAATCTCAGTCAACTAATGGCCGCTGGACACCTTCTTAAGGTTCACATTGGACGGTCATTCTAAGACCTCAAATTCTGCTCCCTATTTATATAAACATAAGGACTCAAGTGGGAGCATGTTGCCTCAGTCAGTATGAATTAGACAAAGGTGCTCCCTGTACCTCCTCACCCCACTGTTAGTCATAGTGAGGTCCAGGTTCTCAGAATGAGCAACCCTAAGGTCACCACACTTTCCATAGAGAAGGTAGACTAGGGATCAATTAAATAGTTTTCAAGTTGTAAGTCAAAATGAGCCAGTGCCCTACGGCTGCTCAAGGCACTGCCTCACAGAGCACAGAGATCTTGTACTAGAGATATATCGACTCTGGCTTCCTTCACTGAGAAAATCTTACTATGAAAAATAAGTCAGTCCATCCAAAGATTGGATTTATTTTGTGATGGTTTATGATGTGTGGTGGTGGCACAAATTCTTTCACTCACGATAAGTCATAAAGCAAACGATTTAGAAATGGCAGCTGATCTTCAAACCATACTTTGAGTAATATGCTGATCTTAATTTAAATCTCTTCAGTTCATCTAAGAAGTATCACTTTTCTCATTTGAAAGTGGCATATCTCTGTTAAGTTTTTACATAACTAAGCCTCGAGTCAAAGCACCTCAAATATAATTTACTTTCTTAGGTAGCCAATCTAAAAATTTGCGAATTTGTTAGTCCATATTTCCTAGTAAATTGTTAATCCAGCTTTTACCTCTAATTACATGTGAGCTTGAGTTTTTCAATTCTTTGGGTTTCCTATATAAATGCAAATCCTTCCTTTAGCGGCAGTGGGGACTGAACCCAGATCTTTTACATGGAGCTACATCTCCAGCCCTTTTTTGAACTTTAATTTTGAGATAGGGTTTTGCTAAGTTGTTAATTTGTCCAGCTGGGCTCAAACCTGTGGTCCTCCTCCCATCAGGCATATGTGTGACTGTACGTAAGTTATATCACCCCAAGAACACTGTGGCTCAATGGATTAAAAACTAAGCATTCAGCTCTAGCACTGGTCATAGAAACAGGAATACTTTCATGTTGGGAACTGTAAGGCACAATCAGCGTCAGGCTTTTTCCTGCGAATATTGTATGCTTTGTGAGCTGTGTGTTCCTTAAGGGATACTTACATCCACGTGCATCCAGATCTTGTACTTTTTGCAAATGTCAGCCACAGCTAACAGAGGATCAAATGCTCCATACACAGTGGTTCCAGCTGTGGCACTCACAAGGAAAGGAACAAATCCCTGCACAAATGAGAAGACCCCCCACAAAATGTAAACAGAGGCTCAAGACTTCTTTTAATAAGTTGATTAAAAGCAATGGAAATCCTTCCCTTGTCAGGCACATCTGCACATTTGGAACCATCAGAGGTGTTGTCACCACTCTGGAGTCTTGAATGAATCAATGCCCACTCTCCTAAATTTGCATTCTCTGGGCCATTCTGCTTAACCTTATGATAGCAGACATTCAGCTACCTCATGATAGCAGATGTTCGGTTTTCAGGAAAGAATATTTGGAGCTAGAGGTTGTCAGTGATATCCAGTGATGTCCATGAACCATTTGTTCATCCATTCCTGGTAGCCTTTCTGGCCCCTTTAACTCTTTTGCTGATCTCTAGTTTTCCTTCCTCACAACAGGGCTCTGAGCTTCCTACATCATCCAGTAGGAGCAGTTAAAGGAAGAGAAAGGATCTTAGAGGAGAGTTTCCATGGGGCTTCACAATAAGGCAGGACTTTGACCCATCTGAGGAATCCTCAGTCTGTCTGGCCATGGCTGAATGAAGACTGATTGAAGTAACAGGCTGTGGTTGGGAGAAGGTAGAACGCTATAAATAGAATTAGTCTAGTCATTCATTCCATATTGAAGGTGTTCTGTTGGTTTACAGAATGTGATGTGACTGAGTTAGTCTTTAGGTGGCAGCAAAGGTTTAATCTTGTGGTTTATGTCAGAGGGGGGAAAGAAAATAATTACTCCTGAATTTGTAATAACAAACTGCATATGTTTACTGCTGAGCCGGGAACTACAGATTATATTCACTAGAACTTAAAAAGCAAATTTTAAAGACAGATTATCTGACTTGCAAATGATTCAGAGATGTAAATGACTTTCCTGAGCCTTGTGGCAATCTTTGGCAAATCTTCTGAACTTAGTGCTTCTAAAAAAGTTCTGAATTGCAGCCTACAAAATTAGATGTATGAAGAATCAATCATCTCAGCATGTGCTTAGGCAGAAAAAACTGATCTTGTATAACTGTAACTCACATGTTGCATGGATATTCTGGAGTTTTCCACCTGTGAAAACAATCTTCAAGTGTTTGTTGCCTTACCATGTACCCTCAGCTTATCAGAAGACAAATGTATTGGAAACTGTTATATTATCTCTGTAAAAATCGTGTGTACATCTGCTTAATCTTTTCTAAGACGTGGATAAATCTTAATTTTTTTCCCTTAGAATCTGTAAATAATAAAGAGAAACAATGATTGGACACAGAATTCCATATTCTCTTTAAAGCTGGGAGATTTGAAGTTTGGCTCCTGCTTTGGTTTAGGTCTAAAATGTCTCCCAAAAGTCTTACATGTTTCAGGACTTTTGGTGGGTGAATGGATCATGGGGATTACTACCCTCATGAGTGGCGTGATCTATTGATGAATTCATAGCTGAATGTGCTGGTTAGAAGAGACGAGTCACAGGGGTCACCGAGAAGGGTGTTTTTGCCCCCAATGCCTCCTTGCTCTCTGCTTCTGGCTACAATAGGTTGAGCAGCTTTTCTCTGTGAGGCTCTTCTGCCATGGCATTTCACGGCTGAACCCTTGGCAACCATGAATCAAATAAACCTCTCCTCCTTTAAATTGTGGGTGTCAGGTATTTTGTTCCAATAATGAGACAGTTGAATAATACAAGTTCTTTTTAAAAATGAAATATAAGTGAATTCTTTGGTTACAGATGGAAATACAGACCCTGTTTGTTATGGGCTAGGTAAGTACCTTACAGAAACTTACTTTCTGTTTGACTTCAAGGATTCTTCTTTCAAGATCAGATGGGATCATTTTCCCTCTGAAAGGCAAAAATAAATATAGTGTAAGTTTGTTTGGGAAAACTTAATGTTTTCTTTACAATGTGAGTGGCCCTATGAGGAAAAAATCCAATTCTATATCACTAACAATAATGCTCAGTTAACTGTTTTAAAACACTTAATTGGCTTTTTCCAGGCAAAAAATGCGTTTCCCTCCCTGAATGATTGCTCTAATTTCCTGACCTATTTAGGAGGTGTCTGCTCACACTGTGTTTTTTGTGGTAGTATGGCCATAGTGTCCCTCTACTCTGTACAAAGACCGATTTTCAGTCATGCTCTTAATTTAGTTAAAATAGGCTTGATTTGAAGGACATTTGGCAGTGAAAGGAGAATACAGAGGGAAACCAATTTTATTCCAAAATTTCTATTGAGCGCACCCACAGTTTTATATATAGAGGAAATGCCAAGAGGAGAAAACATGCTCTGAAATATTTGAATCAAGCATTAAGTTCCTAAACCACTTAATTATATTCCAAGTGCTATGAGCATAAAGTAGACCAAGAAGTCATGGTCTCAATTTTTTTTTTTTTTTAAGTACTAAGGATTGAACTCATGACCTCATGTTTGTCAGGCAGGCGCTTATACCGCTAAGCCAAATCCCTGGCCCCGTGGTCTCAATTTTTAAACACAGATACACATACACATCAGAGAAAGAAACATGACTTCATTATCAAAATATTTCTTTCCTAAAGTGAAAGCACAGATAATTTCCTCAGTATTATGATAATCAGAGAGCTTATTTTTTGCAGCGATCTAAATGTGGCTGGATGTGTGATGTTACCAAAGTTACTTAATTTTCTGTGCCAAATATATCTGGAAAATAACAGAATTATGAGGATTAAATAAGTTAATAAATTCAAAATTATTTGAAAAGTGATTGGCATTTGGTAAGTGTTCAATAAATGCTAGTTTTAATTGATGACATTGTTTTCATGCAGTGCGACATTCCTATTTCAAAACTAGGGGGAAAAACAGGACAAGGACAGGTAGAGTAGTTATAGGGCATGGTAGGCAGTGAAGTGTTTTCTAAGGTTGCTAAACATTTCACGTAGCGATTATTAATCTAGGCTTTATAAAGACAATTTGGAAAGCTAAGTGAGACGTGGTTATCACAGTAAAGGGCTGGGAATGCTACTGGCATTCAGAGAGCATTGAGTAAATTTCTGGTTTTGTCAGCAGCTCAGTAGCACATTTGTGGATGTTCCTGTGAATCTGGGTAAATAGCAAGCATTGGGCCGCTTCATTACTTTTTTTGGTATTGTCTTGCCTAAGCTTCTATGTATTGAAATATGATATTTTGTTACAAATTAACTCTCTAACCTTTCTTCACTTTTAAAATTAATTTAGGCATTATACACTAGGTAGGTAAGTAATGCTTTCTTGTCATTTTCATTTCAGGCCTATAGGGGCTGGGGATGTAGCTCTGTAACATAAGCACCTTCCTGCCAAGTGCAAGGTCCTGAGTTTGTTTCCCAGTACCAAAAAACAAAACAAAAATAAGCATAACACACATTTCAGGCCTATAAAGGAAGGTACAACAAAATAGCTAAAATATGAAGCAGATATTAACCCTCGAAGCACAGGAATCTGATTCAGGTGGAACTATTTTCCAAAGCAAAACAATTCACATGCAGTTACTTGGGCAATGGAACAGTGGCCCAGGGATTAGTTTGGCTGGAATGGAACAGAGGGTACTGTAGGTGCACCGAGGGTGCTGGGTGGGGAACTGAGCCCTAGAAAGTATCTTCCTCTCTGAGTTTTTTGTACCCTTCACAGCTTGGCCTGTGGGCCTCCCTGAAAGCTGTAAGTTCAACTTCAGGCAGCACTCCAGCCCTGCTATCAACAAAATGTGTGTCTTACACAGGAAATTCCAGTATTATATATTATAGTAATCTTTTATGCACAATTTTAAACACATTAATATTGTCACAAGTTTGTTTCACCCAATATTGAAGACTAAACATAGCACCTTCCCATTGAGTTATATCCCTAGCCTCCTCTTTTTAAAAAAATTTTAAGACAGGCTCTTCCTAAACTGCTAAATTGCCTGGCTGGGCTTGAATTTGTGATCTGCTGGCCCTAGCCATCCAGAGTCCTGGGATTACAGGCATGTACCACCATGCGTAGTGCCATAGTACTTTTGTAGGTAAGCATAAACCCTGAGAGGGAAACTTCTCAGAAATTACTTTGTAAATCTTACATTTGACCTAGTTTATTCCGACTTGGAGAATGTGGGTAGATGAGCTTGACAACTGATATTTGCTCATCTAATCACATTAAGACATTTTGTTAACAGTTATGGGGAGGCTTGATTTTAGATTAAACTCATTTTACAAAGCAATGAAAAGGGTCAGAAGTAAAGTGATAACACAAACCAAGTAACTTTTTAAAGAGAAATTACTGCAGGTAAAAGGTGGATTGTAACTAGCAATAAAATATCCAACTCCCACACCAAACTTTTAAAATACCAGGCATACAGTAAATCTATTCAGGAAGACTGGATTCTGTGTGGGTGGGTGTGTGGGGGATACTGAAAACTGAATCCAAGGCCTCTGCATTGAGTTACATATCCAGTCCCTCCATCCTTTAAAGTTTTGAGACAGCATCTCTCTGAGGTGCCCAGGTTGGGTTCAGACAGTGCGATCCTCTTGCCTCAGCTTCCTAGAGTCCTGGGATTTTGGGTGTGTACTACAGAGCCTACTGGCTGGATTCTGTTATGACAAGATAATATGTGACTTTCATGAATCAGAGGTGTCATTCAAGGTTGTGTGGAAAGCAGAGCAAACACATAGTCTCTTTCATTTCCATATCAATGAGTTTGGGCAGGAGGGAGGAGCAGACTTATCAAAGAACAGACTGGTTGATGGCTTCTGACTAAGAGGGAAGAAATGGGGGTAGCACTAGTCTTTCCTAGGCGCTCTACCTTCCATGTCCCTATGTGTTTTGTCCACTGAGGAACTCAGAGCCTGAGATAGGCAGATAATGGAAAGACATTAGCAGGAGGTATGCAACTAGAAGGAAAAATTTAACCCGTGAATATTAATATGTTTACTTTTCTTTAATGTTTGACCAGACAGTGAGTTTGGGGACAAAACTTTCCATCTTTTGATCTTAGAGTTGACCAAATTACTTTGGAACACTGGTTCTTAAAACTTAATATGCATAAGGATTTGTTTGCCAAGTAGATTCTGGGTCTCATTCTTAGGGAATTTGATTCATAGATCAGGTTGAGGAATTAATTCATTCCACTAATATTTACTGAATACTTAAGTATGTGTCAGTATTGTTTGAGAGCTGGTGTGCTAAGGTAGACAGAATAGTCTTGACTTCTTACATGGGAGATAATACACTACTAAGTAGGCATGTGTATACATGTCTATTTCTAGCAAGCACTTAGGCAATTCTGATGCAGTAGACCCAGGTCCACATGTTTAGAAACATCACTTTCTAAATGGAAGTTTTAGCTAGTATGGGAGATATTTGAAGAACTATGTAACACACTAGCTAAGTGTATTGCACATGCCCCATGGTTAGAGACATTGTGGTCACAGAGCAGCAGGAGGAGGTCCAGATGTAGCCCTGTGCATTCTCTGCTGGCCCATATGTCGTGGGGTAAGAGACACTGGGTGACAACCAGCAGGCTCCTCTGAGGATTAGATGCTGTCTGGCTAGATCTGACTTTTCCACACAAGCACTTCTCAGTGCGTGGGAGGCTTTGGATGGCAGCTGTTGTATCCTGTACCTCTGGTCTAAAAGCTCTTCTGTAGCATAAATATGTATCTTTAACCTGCATGCGTCCAGTCTTTCACTCTGACATAGCCACTTGCAGTTTATAAAACTGCACTCAGATAGTTGTTAGTGCTTAGGAAAGTTAGTCGTTAGTCCATGGGAGGGCTGTTGACCCGGAGTGTGCTTTGCACAAATTGATTCTGCATTGAGATCTTGTTTAGCCATAGCCTTTAAAACATCAAATAAAAGAGGCCATTACACAACGCTTAATACAGGATCTGTGATCCTCCTGGCAACACTTGGAGAGCTGTACTTACCTGGCAGATAAGGAAACTGAGGGTGAAGGAGGCAGCTGAATGAGCCTAAAAGCTTGGAATGCAGAGATCAGATAACTGAGTACCCGCCCCAGATTCAGTACTGACATGTACTAGAAGACTTTTAAGTTCTTCCTTTTATTACCTTACAAAATGACAATAGTACTCATCTCATGAAGTTTGTATGAAGATAAAATAAGACAGTGGTATAAACCTCTGCCTAAACGGGGCCTGGAGGTGCATGCCTGTAATTCCAGCCTTTTAGGAGTCAAGATAGGAGGACTATAAGCTAGAGCTCAGTCTAGGCAACTTAGCGACTTTGCTGTCTCAAAATAGAAAGTAAAAAAAGCTGGGGGGTGGGGGGCGGGCAGCATGAAGCTGGAGATTTAGCTCAGTGTGAGGATCTGCATTTAATCCCTATTACCATAAAAACCAAAAAATGGTTGGCATGTAGTACAAACTCAATGCACATTATTCTCATTTTTATTTTAGCAACAAGAATACCATTATATGGCTTGCAGGATATCAGAAAGCTATCAGGAAGCAGATTTCAAGTCTTGAGCTGTCTAATAGCAAAACTCAGATTCTTAGTCCTGGTATACAAACACCTTGAAAGAAACATTTTAGGTTGAGTTCTAGAGTTGCAGTGATATATGCAAATTTTCCACCTGGTTTCCCAAAACTCACTTGGATTAAGTAGCTCCTTAACCTCTGTAGCTAGTAACACAAGAAAAACATGTAATCTCATCCTAGAGCACACTGCTTTATCAGCTTTCAATAGTGTGGTTCTTCCTAACGTAACACTCAAATGCTACAGGAATTGAGTAACCTGGTACCCTTTCTTCCATTTGCTTGTGTTTGTTTTTAAACCAGTCAATGCTAAGCGAAACTGTCTCTGACAAGAATGTCACAGCAAGAAGAGTTCATGGACCCAAGTG